ACACACACACACACACACACACACACACACACACACACACACAGAGTTAAAAGGATACAACACTAAAATAATTACACAATAAATAATTTATTAAAACATGAACCAGCCCTAAAATGACCACATGTTTCGGTGTTTCTTACGTCACCATCTATCTTCAGGAGTAAGAGTTGAAATTTGGTCAAGACTTGTATTTTGTTTGCATTTCTTTAGCGCCATCTAGACATAAAACACCCAGAATGTACAAAACATATTTATCTACCGCATTTGTATGTTCATTGATCATGAATGTCAAATTTCTGCAAGTTTCACCCGTGTAAATTCGTCCAGACGCAAAGAATTTTGTAAATCACACATTTATCAACTTCTTCTTTCTTTTTTTTTTTACCGTGAGAAACTTTAGTTTACAAAGCGAAGAGAATGTTACATTACATTTAATTTTTAAAATTATTTTCCCTATTCTTGTTGATAAATAAACCCTCATATTATCAACTTTAGCCTTACCCTTTAACTTTGTACATGATACCATTTTTAATTTATTGTTGTGTTCTTTGTACAATCAATAATTTCGAGATTGTATTCTCTAGCCACATGTTGTAAGAAAATTAACTCTTATTAAGTCACAATCGTGAGTGCAGATTTTTAAAGCTCTGTTACCTATCTGCTTGTTTGTTAATTTCCGGTAGAAATTCTTTCCCAGGAACTTCAGCGATAGAAGTCCTTTCTTGATTAAACAAGTTTATTCTTTCTCAATACAACTTTTAGTACACAGTAATTCCCACTGTCAGTACGTTTCTCATCACTTTTAACTTAACAACTTTTATAATACACGCTATAAATCACAGTGATTCACACACTTTATTACCGTCACTACTGTTCGCTTCTCTAATTATCTATCTATCGCTGGCTTCTCTGCCAGGCTTATATACTAACAAAGGAAGAGTCTCGAATGCACTCGGGCCTCCTCGATCATTCGAGAAATTTCATGCACGCTACCAGCCCCAAACGCGCCAGCAGCGTCACGTGACTTCTGCTGTTGTAACAGCTCTAAATACAAATGTGGAAATGGCGGATAATTTTTGTGTCCATAGTAACCCGGTCTATTGTGAGGGTGATACAGCCACAGAAAACGGTTTTCTATAAACGGACGTTCAGAGATTGACGTTGACCCTCTTTTTTCCATCTCCATTGTAAATCTAATAGTAGGACTGATGGAATAAAAATATCTTAATGTCACTCCGCCATACCAAAAACGTGTCATCTACGTACCTTATCCATACCAAAAACGTGTCATCTTCGTACCTTATCTACACCAAAGGTTTCACTTCAGAAGCATTAAACGTATTCACTTCGAATTTAAACATAAATAACTCGCATAAGAAAGGAAGGGAGATTCCATAGCTAAACCTCTAATCAGTTTAAAAAAACTTGGTTACCAAAAAATACGAGTTTGACGCACACTCGTGGGTCAGCTTGACGCACTTATTAACCTTTAACAGAGAAACTTTCTAACTCTAATAATCTATTTTCAAGACAATCTCGTGCTACTTCAACTGGAACATTCTTGAATAGCGAAACAATGTTAAAAGAGGCTAGTTGATCCGTTGATTCCAAGTTTATCTCGGCGATTTTCTTAATAAAATGAAACGAATACCCTCCACCCCCCCAGTGGCAAAGGAGTATGTCTGCAAACTTACAACGCTAGAAACCGGATTTCGATACACGTGGTGGGCAGAGTACAGTTATCCCATTCTGTAGCTTTATATTTAACTCCCAACAAATCAAATGAACTTTCTACAGTGTACTTATGAGAATCAGTTAAAAACGAACATTTCTGAGAAACAAGATTTTCCAAAGGATGGACATTTTTTAATTCATTGGGTATTTTGAAAGAATTAACAACTGATAAAACTCAATTCAACTCTATAGTTAAAAACCACCAAATGTTGTAATGTTAACCCTCCCATTCCTACCTTGTTTTTTACTTTTTGATGCTCCTATTACTAATTACTAATTTTTCTTATTTGATTCTTTTTTCTATTTAATTTGTCTCGTAGTTTTTTTTCGGTATTAGATCTCAAGAGTGTCTGTGATTTAGGCCTATCCTTCTCGTAACCTTTCTTGATGCTAAGTTCAAAGCACTCGAGGAAAGCCGTGTCAAACTTCGGCAGTGGTAGCGTACGTCCTCCCGTAGGAGACTCGTGTCTTGGGCACCTACTGCTATGATAGTTTTGCTTTGTCCAACACAAAACTCTCGAGTCAGATGTATAGAACTGAAAACTTCGCTTTAAAAGGTTATATCATAGTTAGAATCTAGATCTATAGAATCTACATATTCCACGTTTTTTAGTTTTGTTTTATCTAGCTTATATAGCTGCAGGCTAATCACGTAGCGCATGCGCATAAGCATTTGTGCACCCACTCGTGACATGAGGGGAGGTTGTTATTTGGCAACTCTCAGAGCATGCATGGCTACTAATGTATTGTTAGCTCGTAGTGGTGTTGCAGAATGGTTATTGCTATTATTTGTTATTACCAATATTATAGGTAAAACTAAAATTCTTTTAGCCAAGGTAGCATAATTCAATTACGTCCATTTAGATTTGTATAAGGTGAAGACAGGAGAGGGCTATGCCTTTCCAACAACATTAGTTAGTCAAATCGACAGATTTGTGGTTTTGTGAAGTATGTTTTTATTCTACAGACTTTTTAAGTGCTTTAGTGGCTTGTTAGTCTGCAGTTGGTTTGTTTACTACACAACAATATGTGGAAAGTGCTTATAAAGTTTTGTTTACATGCTGTTTGCAGTGTGTTTGAGATTGTAATTTATATTGCACACCTGGTCCATGTTGATTTTTAGATGAAAAACTCGAAGAACTTGTATATCAAAACAAAACATTTATTAAATT